TGAACCAGTAATTCCTTCCAATGTGCATAACACTACCCTCCTACCCCTTCTCCCCAAAGATTCCCATTGGTATGACATCTCTTCTCCACTATCTATCTACCACTCCGTGAGTTCTCCAATTCTTCAGTTCTTTTTCATCACCCAGTGCTCCCCAAAAAGCTGCTGCCGTCGTCGAAGACCGTGAGTAAGCGGGAAATATCTCTCACAAAGATAAGCACGCCACTTCTCCATCCTGCCACCAAATGCCATCCCTCACTGGGATCCCCAAAGTGCGACAAACTATTACAGCAGAATTCTGCTGATTTCCAGTTCGGTTCCTCCTCGTTCTCATTGAAAAGCTCTCCGAAAAAGACTTATAAGAAGTTAGCTTCAGCCACGAAAGCAAGAAAGCTAGGTTCAAGCTTGTGCAGGCTTGTTGTAAGTCTGTATTAAAATTCACAAGGTGGCTTTAACTACAGTCATTTCCACGTTCGCAACCTGACCTCAGACCTGAAATTGCTCTAGTAAACCCATTACTCCTCAAGAAGTTTGAACTTACTCGGAAGAAGCATCAAAGCATGGCGCACTTGTCACACTGCATCTACCACACGTCTTTTGACAATGCCTATGAAAATTACAGTATCGGCTTGTTGAAATTATTGATCAAAAGAGTAATTGTACTTGTTCAGCAGGTCATCGTAACGTGGATCCGAGCACTGAGCTTTCAGCTTCGCACAGTTCGTATTGGGGTCATCTTCACAGGCGGCGGCTGGAAATAGTGACTCTGTATCAGACTGTACACTACTGTGCTCGTATTACTTACTGATGTTTATTCTCAAAACGTATTTCATTTCACAGCGTGAGATAACGATAAATATAATCCACCATTAGGGTTTTATGATGCATATTGTATGCATTTACCTGTAGTTTGCTTGATAGAATAAGATGTGTTTGCCATGGTAGAGTTGTGGCCCGGAATAGTGCTCACGGTGGAAGGCAAGGTACTGGTCGAGGTGGTCGAGTTCACAGTGGTGCATACGACTTCTAAATAGAAGACTCAGTTCAAGCGGTATAAATTTGCTGCGCAGACCACCAAAAAGTTACCGAGATAGATGAATATAACTGCAGATAAGAGCCTCATGGAAACAATAGGATGACGAGTCTTGTGTCAAAAACTGCCTGGGGTTTTATACCCGAGGATCTTATCTACTTAAGGCTCGAAACCCTAAGCCGATAGCGACAAACTGCCGTTGTCAGGTGGTGTTTGGACGATTGAACAAGATGAAGTCATCCATGCTATATATAGCACAACCTGCATTCCTAGATAAACTTCTGAGAGCCTCCCATGAGCAACTTACCCAAGGTTCTAGTGAAGTACGCAGCTACTTCGACCACGTCCGAAGGATGTGTACCTTACCTGAGTCTCCTGGAACTCGCATGAGTCCGTACTTGGCAATTCAAGGTCCCATTCCGCAAATGAATGTGTATTGGTGTCCCATACAAGAGGATGAATTGACAGGCATAGGATGAAGTGACATATGTATGTAGAAAAAAGAAATAGGAACCGCTGCTTGGAGAGGAATTGGAGTGTAAGGTCTAAAATTACGTGGTCCAACACAATCGATAGTTATAAGAGAAAGAGAGCCCCAAAGGTTTTGCAGAGGCACAAAAATTCAAGTAACTGTGTTTTCTGCGGTGAATCCTTGAGGACAGCTAATTATAATGCTACGTTCACGCTTTCAAGCAGCGTTCCGTCCACCAGCGTCTAGCAGCGTTCACCAGCGACCGGGAGAAGAGAGTATGGGGAAAGTAGGAGGATAATCAGCTGCATGCGGCTTCGTGGAATTGTGATGCACTGCACAAGTGTCGAAGCACAGAAAAATGCAATTCAAGGTACAGTGTAAATAACATGTCTTTCTTCCTGGATACATTTATGAGATAAGATGCGGACATAATAAGGATACTGCTGGGTGGGATTACAGCCGCAGAAATTGTTTGAAATATCCACCACATTACACAGTTATTCATAGAAGGAGATCCGCATTACATTATTGCCTGGAGTACACTTGAAACCCGTGAAATGTGGTAGATTTGGCTGCGCGCTTCAAACGAACGTGGCAATGGCTGTGCTTTTTGGGAGGAAGGGGGACAGTTTCATTTAACGCATTTGTTTTCGTCTCTGTGTAAAACACAGAGAAGATGGCAGTTGTCACGGACGAACCATTCTGTGCCCCATTCTGTGCCATGTTCAAATGGCACGCCTACTCAATGTTAGAGATAAGGAGTGTAGGGACACCCGTACATAGAAACCTTTAATTGGACGTCGCAAGCGTTGCTTAAGATTGAATTTTGCCAAGAGTCAACTAGGTGTGCCAACTTTTCGCGCACGATTTACGCACATTTTTGCGATTTTGCGAAAAGCGAACTACATCTCAAAAGTTAGTGTGAGGTGGCCTAGTATAAATAGTTGCACAAACATATGCAAAATATTCAGAGGTATTTTCCTATGATTTTGATTCAGATGTACTTATCTCCTTCTTCATTGAGGGATTTTGGTATTTGCACATCCTTCCCTCTATACACAGCACTTTAGTTCGTATTTGCGTTATAGCTTATTAGGTATAGGTTTTCAATTTTCTTATTGTATGGCGTGCACTTACACACTTCGCCCCAATGACCCTCAGTTTTTGGAGAGCATTTTTCTATCACTTTTTTCTGCAATATTTCTTCAGTATAAGTGTTAGATCGTCAATTTTCCTGCAATATTCATCAGTTTCTCTCCTACGTCCTTATTTCGGACCGTCGTTGCTGATGATGCTCTCCAGTTGAGGACATCGGAAGAACGTGTTGGGGGGGGGGGGGAGCGGAATAAACCAAGTATTGTATTCTCTCAGCGGTTTCTTGCACATTTGTTTTTTCGCGTGTAGAATTGGCAGAATAGAGTTCTTGTCAGAGCCAGCAGACCATCGGGGCAGATAGACCAACCCTTAGAATTTATGAAACTACTGGACGGTATCTGTGCGGCCGTACTCATCGGTCGCTCCTGTACTGTCGCAGTTTTCAAACCCATGGAGTGGTGAAGGAGGAGCCTCCAACCAGCTTGCCAAGGTTCATAGTCAGACGGATTTTGACTGCAGCAGCTCGTACTATCTCTGAGAAACCTGAACCAGTGCCTCACAGTACCATCAATGGCACTCGCTGACCACGAAACACCACTGCTCTTTCCAGTGGTCCTTCTTGCATAAATCAAATTAAATTTCTAAAGCAAAAATATGTGATAACTGGAACCACTAACTCTGCAAGGAGTCTAGTAGTTTGAATAAACAAGTGAACACAGATCAGCTTCCGAAGATATTTCTGTTATTGTTTTTCTTTCTTTCCGCGGAGTTACTTGCACGTTTACTTTTCTTTTTTCATTTTTCGTGCCTGTTTCTTTTCCGTATCGAATGAGGTGACAACGGCTTCCAACACATCATTTGAGAGAAGAAAAGGAAGCAAAAAAACAAAAAAAAAAAAACAGCTGAAAACGGCAAGGAAGAAAATAAAACCACACATCCCTCGCGGAACAAACAGCGTTAAGCTATATTCCGCAATAATGATCCTTCAAAAGAGCTCCTACAACACATCCTAATTACGGCTAATCAGTGATACCTTTTTAGGGACACGAAAAAAATTGAACTAGACAATATGCGTAGAAGACGGCGCCAAGCTCTTAAGTCTAGAGAATGAGAAGCTTTCATTCTGTCAGTCGTTCGCTTCTGTCCCCTCCTTTCGAAGAGATGTTGAGCAGTAAACGTTCAAGCAGCTTCTCTGAATGGTGATTTAGGGATGGGCCAGGGAACCACCACTGGCAATGTCATCAGCCATCTGATCCTTCTGCTACTACTGGGAAATGGAGAGAGTGGTCTCATGGAAGAAGGAGCAATGATCTCTGGTCGCCATTCCCAGCTCAATGTTGACGATGATGTGGTCCTCAACAAGTAAGCTCTTTTAAATAGCAGCACAGGGAGGACAATGAAGAAAAAGACCCCGTATCTGGAGCGCATAATGGAAACTCGTTAGCACAGGGTGGCAAGTCATTGGCACATCCATGGCAAAATGTTCCCAGGATGTTCCTCATTGCAGGACCAGGCCCTCCTACTTACCCTCGAAGGTCATACCCAGGGAATCACCAGCCCTCAATATTTGCGTCCGTTCAACGCAAGGCACAAACTCCACGGTCAGTCGGTTTCCCTTACATGCGGGTTCCTGGAGACTGCCGCTCCGAACTTAGAACAGCCATGCTTAGCCGCTCAGAAATAGTAATATGGTGTACATCGAATACTTTTCGCGGTTGGGCTACAAGTCACATTTAACGTCAAGCGCCGTGGGGATCCAGATACATCAGTTTCGCGGACTCGGAAGACGCAGGGGTCAAGACAACTGGGACAAGTGTCATATATGTATTTACAGTACTCTCGTACCCCGTCATTCGGTGCGGAAAGAGCTCCGGGGCACAAACTATGACGCAGTGTTTTCTTCGTTGGTTCCCTTCTGTATATACGGCATTACTTAGTAGTATTTAAATCAATCTTCCAAAACTTGTCGTCGCTAGTTTCATACCGATTTGGTAAGTTTTGAGTTCAGGAAGCGACTGGGAGAAAGCACAGAAGGCAAGGAACGACCGCCATAAACGACAAGTGTATAAGCCAGCTGTTCTCTGGAAAGACAACACAATTTTCTATGATTTCGAAGATGATATTGGTAATATCTTTTTCAGCTTCACCGAAGGTAATTTCCCTCAAAGATCCACATACATGAAGTTTTCCAGACGAATACACTCGGAAGATTTTTAAAAAAGCAGTCGATCATATAAGCTCCCGTACATGCATTGATTTCCAAGAAGATCCAACAGCTGGAAACCGTATACATATCAAATATGATTATAAAAGGAACGGATGCTGGTCAGATATGGGAGTGCAAGGTGGTGTGCAGAACATGTGGTTGGGAAAAGGCTGCCTTCATGTAAGTTTTCTGATTATGGCATTGTCCCGAATCGCACAGTTATCCCAAAACTCCCTACAATATCACGTTGCAAAGGTCTTCTTTTGAAAGCCAAGAATACCCAAGGAAGCTGAAAGGGGGGAGGCTCAGAACATGGTACAGCACCGCTGGGAGCATCTCACAAGGGGGAGGGGGGTGAGCGCGAAAAAATTGTTCAGTTGTGTGAACGCGAATAAACAGTATTTTATTGGAGGTGGGCCCTATAATCCACGAAATGGTGCACACTCTTGGTGTAGGTCACATGCACAACCGTGATGATCGAGACGACTACATCCAAGTCGACTTTTCATCAATGAAGGTAGGTTCGCTTCGTTTAAAGTGCATATTTGTTACTACTTGTTGAGGAGAACATTAACGTCAATAGCTGTAGAACATGCTCCCCAGGGATATTCCGAGAACGGATTCGAGACAAACCTGCTTTTTTCTCTCACATCTTAACCCGTAACTCTTCTGAGACTAGTGACCCTACATGTCCCTTTTGCGATTTTGTGTGATCAGCTTGATCCTTCTAGCTTACGGAACATTACAACATTCAACAGCGTCCTTTTATTCCCTGTGGAGTTGTCATGAAAGTCTGAGTATGAGTCCAGTTAGTTCTCGTGCTGACTCGCGCTTGACTGCTCGTCAGGTCCGATTGATATCTGGGCCTTTGTGTTTGGGAGGCCTTAAACTGGACCCATATATTCAAAGAGGCAAACTTCTCAACCCACCTCGCGGATGTGTGGACAGGTTTCCCTCGCGGTCTCCTCTCTTACGTGCAGTTAATGAGGAATTCCCTTCATAAAGGCAATTTAAGATTATAAGGCAGTTACGGTAGGAATGAGCGATGCAACTAGATCTTCATGAAAGTTGAATTTCAGGAAAATACTACAAGTCAATTCAAAAGGATGATTGCTGACGAAGTAATCAACTATACTCCGTACGAATATGGCAGTATTATGCACTACGGCGCAGATGCGTTAGTTTTCTCAATTTCCAAGTAGGATTTCCGAGCTGTACAATGCCATAAGGGAAATTTTGAGTTGATCCAGGTTTACCAGAAATGGTAACATAACGATTGCGCCTCTCGACCAGACCTACTTGTGGACGATCGGATCGCCTATACCTTCTTTCTACGACATATCTACTCTCAACAAACTCTATAACTGCACCGGTATCGTTATTTTTGGTCAAGACTGCTGTACATTTACCCTACAATTTCGGCTGTGGCAAAAAAATATCGGAAACTTTTGCTAGCTGAAAATAGGACAGTTGGTCAAGTCCTTGATCTCTAGAGTCTACTCAGCGGCTACATGCACAACCTGAAAGGCACTTTCTGCCGGAACGTCGTAGGAAGCAGGAGAGCGGTTGAAAAACAGAGGTGCTTGCTCTCTTCTGTTCACTTCGCTTATCTGTAGAGAAAATAGTAGCTGTACCGGAGAAAATACTAAACATCCAATCTTCTTTGAAAGGACGGACGGAGATTTGTAAGGATTTTTAGCAAGGGACCACGAAGCAAGAGCATACGGACAACAGAGAGTAAAGCTGGACAGAATCACTGGCGCCCTTTGAAAGAAAGAGCTCAAAACAGAGCTTTTGAGTTACCGCAATAACGCCATATTGTAATTCTCTGATATGGAACTGATACAGTGATCCACACTGTCTCTCCTACCCCACCCCACCCTCCCGCTTTGCCCTCCCCGCTCTCCCCCGTGCCTTCGCCCCTCACACTTATACATTTCAAATAGCTCTGATTCTTCAGAGTAATAGAGAAAGGGCTTTCAGATCTGTAGTTTATGATGTTTTTATAGGCCGGTGTGGAGCAGATTTAAATAGGACTACGTGCTCAAACGGAGGAGTGCCAAATCCGAGACAGTGTGATGTGTGCCTTTGTCCATACGGTTACGGCGGCAGATATTGTGATGAACGGGTAAGATGACAACTGCGTAAGGTTTTCAGGTAACGTCCTCAGGGAATCACTCAAATGTTCAGTGTTTTTTTTTGTTTTGATGCTATTTTGTTCACAATTTTGTATGCCCGTCGTCCAAGAACTCACACGAACTGGAGAAAGTATTCAGCCAGCCGGTTGTGGTGAACGACTCAAAGCGTCTACTCTTTGGAAAACCAAAAAATTCACTTTTATGAATACCTCTGTGGCTAACGACCAAGCGCACAGAATGTGCAATCATTGGATAGAGGTGGGTTCTCGCTCTCATTGAGAGGGATTGTTCTTCCTTATAGACTTCTTCAGCTAGCAAAATTCCGTGACAAGAAAGGAACCATTATTCCGAAAGTATTTAAAGGAATAGTGAGCGTATAAGGTATGTCACAAAGCCATTGAGCTGAGGGTAAGAGCGACCTTTGTGTTCAACGAATAGCGTCCTCCAGCGGCAATCGTGAGATGTAAAATCGGGTCTCACCTGGCGTCAAAACTTTTGCCAATAACTCAGCATTACTGTGACAGCTACAAAATGAGATAGCACAGGACAGGAAGCGCTCGCATCGCTGCGCCTACTCCCCAATTTTTCTTTTCAGCAGCGCTAAGCCTACCACATTTTCTACTTCCTTCTATAGCAAGGCTTTGTATCTTACACATTTCCACGCGTATACCAATGGCTCTGAAACAGCTCTTCGAAGCAATAGTATAGAGTCGATAGTATAAAGTGGAACCGAATACCCCCATGCAAGTGTAGCAGTGATGCACATTTATGGACCCCTATCTGCTTATAGAATGTTTAGATACACAGCTTTGGGAAGATTATTCCGCGACTAAGACAAGTCGCACTTCAATGAGTGCTTATCGTCTGATGTCTAAAAGTGACAAAGTCACACGTCCTTTCAGGCGCCGCTAGGTAAATGGATAGAAGTTCGAGTAATAGGGGTACCATCCAATCTTTGCTACTATGGTTGCTGCTACGGTGCCATTGAACCCAAGGTTCTGATGGATAAAATGGTCACAAATCCCGAGGTATACTATTGAAAAAGAGCTTCGTTTTCATTTCTATCTCTAAATTAATTGTAGTTCCAGATATTGTTGCGAGGAGCAGCTCAACAAAACTCTCATAAGCAAGCTCAATCCGACACCAATCTTTTCATACAGCGTTTTTCGCAAATCAGTATTCACATTCCAGTACAGATATAAATGAATGCTACATTGTGTTACCAATCAGCTGAAAGGAAAATAAACACCATGGATTATTCTCATAGTGAATGAGTCTGTCGTTGATGTGGGTCTAGAGATTGCCATGCTTTAGAGCCGGAGATGGCGAAAATTGGCAATGTGTAGTCAGTATCAAGAATGTCTACTTGTGATCAAGAAATCCAGTGTAGATTAGTGAACAAGGCAAGCAATCGTGATTTGCCGCGACGTAGGTGCAAACCACGGTTTCTTGACCGTCTCCTGCTGTGGAAAGAGAACTTGACCAGTAGAAATTCTATGCCAAGGCGGTCATATTATTTTGGATGCAGTGTGAACCTGCAAACAAAATAACTTTTTGATACAGAATTCTGTAGAGGAACAGCTAAAGAAGATGTGAATGGATCACAGCAGTGGATTACATCGATGCCCACAAGAATGTTGACTCCTACGTGAACCCAACTACGACTTGCTGTAGGCATTTCTAAGCTTTCCTTTTTTTGCCATGATATTCATTTCTTCTGGTGTTTATACATGAACTGGAAGCTATGAGATGACGTGATCAAAAAAGTGAATCAGTTCCAATAAAGGACGGAAAAATATGAAAATGAACGTTCGACAAAGAAAAATAAAAAATTCAGATGAAAACAACTATGATATGAAGCCTTCAGTTTTTGAGCAGATTTCGTGAGTCACGTTCATAATGAAACTTTTCAGAACCTTAGAAGCCAATATTCTTCCGAAAACCACAATTGACATTGGAATATAAAGGTGCTGCAGCTCTCTTCCACTTCGTTTTCGGTAGCACATCCTGACTCAAGCAATGCATTTCTCTGGCTTTGTAGAGGCATAGCTCTTTATCCACGGAAAAGTGCTTCTGTGAAGCGATTCCTCTGCCAACAGCAGACACTTTCGGAAGAATGAAATACTTGAAGCTAATCAACTCTTTCCTAGTATTTGCCGTGCGTTTTACATACAATAGGCGTCCATGGTATGATCTACTTCTTGCAAATATTTAGCCTACATAAACACTTCGTCACTGCTGTGGGCAGTTTCGTTATGATAACTGCTGTTTTACGCCGCAGCTCGCGTTCCGAATGTTATCACAAGAATGCTGAGTTGTGGGCAAAAGTCGTGCCCCAGGCGGGAGCGAACCCGCACCTCACGCTTTCCGGGCGAGTGCGCTATCCGTTACGCCACCAGGGCCGCTTTTACCCTCTCAGCTTAACGGCTTATGCCGTAACCTTACAGCACTCACACGTTTAACTTGGTGAGCCGGTCAGCCGTAATCGTTAGATATCGGCATGGAACCGCGAAGGCCGAAGGCTTTACAAGTTTTTTAAAGCTGTTAGGCTTTTTCAACTTTTCAAGCGGCCCTGGTTCGTAACGGATAGCCCACCCCGGAAAGCGTGAGGTGCGGGTTCGACTCCCGCCTGGGGCACGACTTTTGCCCATAACTCAGCATTCTTGTGATAACTGTTCGGCAGTGGGATCGAGTTCGTTTAGTAAAATAAACGCATAGAGTAAAGCGACCCAGCGTCTGCTTCAAGAGAATGCTCGTGTCCTACCGGATTTCCCTACACCGGAGGGGGACCGTATTAGTTTATCATTGAGAGGGAGAGGGGGTCATACGAACTCGATCGAAATTGTCACCTAATGATGTACGCTACCATAATTCTCCATCTCTCTGGGTGCTGGACAGTTTGCATGAATAGCTAGATTTTTGTTACTATATTACTTTTACTACTGCTTGTTTTTATTACTGTATCACAATCAACCACTTACTTCTAAACGTGAAAAAATTAGGTACTCGTAATATGAAGAGTACCAAGTACTTGTACTGCCTGCAACTTGACTTGTTGTAGAAAAAAAATATTACCCTGTTTCCTGAGGTATAAGGAGCACCCCATGTATAGGGCGCACAATCGTTCCTAATGCCGCAAATGTTCCTCTTTCACTTTTGCGCGTTTTTTGTTTGTTCTTATCCATGTCAATGATCTTTATTCAAAAAGAGGTTTTTAAAGAGCAATTGGAGGAACAAAATATTTGAAAAATAAGAGAAAACTTTCGCTGGCGAGTTGTCGCGTATGACTCTGCAAATGAACCTCATACCCCAGGAAACAGGGTACTTAACATAAGTTGTACTAGTCTTTCAGGAATACACGACAGCTACAGAAATGGGTCAAAGAAACGCCAGCATTGGTGCTGTCAGCCTATTCATTCTTTTACTCCTTGATGGTGGACAGAGTCTTCAAAGGTAAAACGGCATCACGAGAATCTCAATGGTGATTCTCAAGACGTTATCATGTTTGACCGATCAGGGCACAGCCTAGCTGGGTGAAACGCACCAGGGTAGGGCCATGTTTGCTCGCTGGGGAAGAGGGGTTGTACTTGGCCCCGAAGGAAACTTTTCCAAATGTTGGTGTTTTGCGTTTCATGTCACCTTGCCTTGTTCTATTCCACCGCTAGACAGCAGTAATTTGGGCGAATACGGCAGTAACGTAAGAGGGTAGGAAGTTGTGAGAGGTGTCACTTAGAAGCAGCACCATCATTCCATT